TTTCACCTTGCCCTACAAAGTGAGTTTCAAGGTCACACTGAGTAGTAGTATGGCTGTATCTTTAGAAGAGCGGTCTAATTTTATGCCTATAATAACTTTCCTAATTATACATGTTAGAATAATCAAGTCTTATGCTTTAGGGCATAGCCAATTACTGTAGCAACCAAGAAGTAATTTATTTTCTCATGTCTGCTGCTCACAATAGGATAGGTCCATTACACATTCATGAATTCTGCGGTGGGACTGTTAAGGGCTGTTAAGTACAGGCCTCTGGATCTGAAAGGCCACAGGCTTACTGGAAGTGGCAGTTCTTTTACGTGCTGGTCTCCTATTCATTGTATCTGTTACTTAAGAGTTCTAAGGAACATATGGCTTACTGCCTACACTTTACTATAAGACAAGTTCTTGGATACAGCTTTTGATGAACATACTGAAGATGAGACCCTAATATTGAAGAGACCTTGAGGTCGTTTAGGGCAGTTTGCATTTCAATAGGGACTTTTTATATAAACCATAGTAGTAGACACTGTTTAAAACAGACTTTAAGGCCTCGGCTGCTCAGCTCAGCAGCTGGGGTGCCAGCCAGATACACCGGAGCTGGGGTATTTGAACTCGGCCTGGGCCTGCCAAACAATGACAACTACAACCAAAAAGTAGCCAGGTGTGGCAAGCACCTGTAGTCCCAGCTACTTGGGAGGCTGAGGCAAGAGAATCACTTAGCCCCAGGAGTTTGAGGTTGCTGTGAGCTGTGACATTACAGCACTCTACCAAGGGCGACATAGTAAGATTCTGTCTCAAAAAAAGAAAACAGGCTTTAGGAGTACCAGACGTAGAACATGTTATTTTAAAGTTCTGTTAAGATATAATATTTGCACTTGGGAGGCAGAGGCAGGAGAATCGTTTGAGCTCAGGAGTTGGAAGTTGCTGTGAGCTGTGATGCGACAGCACTCTACCCTAGGGCAACAGCTTGAGAGCTTGAGGCCTCTGTCTCAAGAAAAAAAAAAATACAATATTTGCAACTCTCAGCATATATGAATAAATAGGGTTTCCTTCATTGCTACATTATCCCTATCCTGATCAAAAGAATTTGTACTGCTTTAGTATTAATTTTATCCTTCTTCCTAAAATTGTATATTTTTTAAGCCATTCAAAAAATAAAACTGGAAATGTCATTAAATTTGTATATATGTTCCTTTAGTTTTGGTTCATTTTGTATCTAACTGCAACTTTATGCACTTTTTTCTTGTCTCTTATACTAATGGTTAATAAACTTTTTTGGCCACAGTCTAGAAGTATAAATACATTTTATATTAACAATCAGAGTAGCATATGTATATACATATACACATACATAATTGAAACAGAAAATTTATTAAATAGTCCTCGATGATGGATATATTCCCCTGTATTGTTTTCTTCAGAGAGAGTGGAGGGATCTGGATGTGACCCATCAATTTCACAACCCATTCCCAGAGTATGAAAAACATGGCTCCAAGCTTAAAAGAATATTTGTCTCTGTTGCTCTCTTCACATTAGTTTATTCTGTACAAGCCTCTTTTGCTGTTATGGAAGTAAGTGCTGCCTCTTTACACTGCTGCAAGATGACCACAAGGTGATCAAAGTAGAGAATGAAGCTTGCCATTCTGCTCTGTCGACACAGAATGCCCTTTACTGAATGACAGCATCAAATGATCTGTGCAACGAAGAGCCCAAGTCCATGTAGAGAATCTGTTCTGCAAATCTCTCACATGATCACTAGGATACTCAGAGGGTCCACAGGGTCATTAAGCTGTTAAGAGAAAAGTTCTATGGAAGGTGATGTTTTCCAGGCTGGGTACTGCCCTGGTGGTAGTCCTATGTCTACCTCAGCCTCACTTACCCTCAAATGTCCACTACCTTGGGCATATATTTCTCTTGTAATTAGCGTACTGTCAAGTTCTCAAAGGTGTCTTGCAGTCTTGTCTGATGATCCCAGTGCTGGCTTTCATGCTTTATAAAGTTATTTTCAGATATTCTTGGGTCTCACTTTTCTTCAGCTAAGAATATATGAATATATGCTGTGCACAGATACACCTTGCAAATCATAGCTTCTACCACAGACTCACTCTAGTGGCAAACTGAGATCACAGCTAATGACTGAGCTAAGTTTTGACTCATTATTCATGGTGGCTGAGCTGCTACCTCTTCTATCCTCCCTCTCCCACCCCTCATCTTCTGCCTATGCACATGATCTCTCAAGACTAAGCCTCACCTGGCCTATCTACCCAGAGGTAACCCCAGGAAGTGAGGTGTGGGCCATGGGAGAAGCCTGAGACCAAGCATGCATGGGAGGTATTGAGTGGGTATTGAGCTCTACTTGGGGTCTGGATTTTCTCAAGGCTGCCCCAGGGATGGCTCTCCCTCGGTAGAGTGGCTCCCATTCTGGTTGTAGCATGTGGCAAATTTGCAGTCTTTTGTCTGAACACATGCCCCACAGGCTCTGAGTTGTGCATTTCTTGTATTTGTCCCTTGGGACACAGAGATGTTGTGTGGACATGAACACTCTTTTTTATTGGGAGCTGGTGTCTTCCTTCCCAAAATAAAGATTTGTTAGTTCTCATAGAATGTGTTAACCATAACCTTCAGGCTTGTCTTTCCACATACAATAAACATTCTTAAAGTTTTGAGAATATGGGTTGAACATTCCTAATCCAAAATCTGAAACTTTGTGTGCGGATTTTCAGATTAGTGCGCTCTGATGGTTGAGAATCAGCAAATAGTCCAAAATCTGAAAAAATGCAAAATTTAAAATAATTCTGCTGCCAGGCATTTTGGTGTGTTGCAAGTTATTTGATCAATTCATCAGGTGGTTATTCTCTGTAGCTTCATCAAAGACATTCTGCTGAATCTATGAAGTCACTTAGTTTAAAAACTTCTCATCTTTGCATGTTCATCGTAACATCTTAATTATTGAGAAACACTAGTAACATATGTTAAAATGTTTCAAGGCTTTTGCAATTGAGGCAAATCTTGTGCATGCGACTGTAGAATAATAGAACTATATTCATTTTTACAGTTCATATATTTAAGTAATACCAGATTAAGTGCATGGATTGTATAGAGTGATAAAATTTAGTGATTTTTTTGCTTGGATAATGAAATTCACAATTTATTATGACCTTAAGGAAAAGGACCTACTGGTTGGTCATCTGCACCCAGAAATTTCTGTCCATGTTAGGGGGGAATTCACATTGCAGGCAGCAGAAAATTGCTCATAGGATCAGCTTATACACATTCCAAGGCACCCCACTGGTTTCCCTTTGCAAAACCTACTCAATGTGTTTTATCTGTAACCGAGGCATTTTTATTGGGGGTAACTATTCACTAAGAAATAAAAGCCCCATTACCTCTTCTTTATAGAGCATCAAAAGTAGGATATTATAAAGTGAGAGGCCTTCAGATGATATTTAGACATAATTCTACTGAGCTTAGAAAATGACAGTGTGTGGTGGCAGTAGGCAGGTTGGGGAAATGCCTGTCTGGTATGGAAGTCCTGCTCTGCTTTTAAAAATACTCAACAGGTCTAGAAGTATGTAAGTATGTCTGTTGATGAACTTGATTCAGTTGGAATTAAGCCCTCAAAAAGACCCAGCACTCAGTTTCAATCATTAGTGATATATGGAATGCAAACACTTTTTAAAAAGAACTGCAAACTAGAAGAAAATTTTCCCCTGAAAATATTTAATGTAAGTAAATCCTTGAGATGGTGGGGTTTGTTTTTTTTTTTAACAAAAGCTTTGTTAGCCAATGGGGATAGGATATCAGGCAATTATGTGATTGTTTTTATTGTGATGCGAGTAATAAGAAATCCCACCTCCACATCCCCTCTGCTTTACATAGAAAACCAGGCAATAGGCAGAGGTGATGTAACCTCAGGTACCCATGGCCAGAGGGTGCCTTCAAGCCACTCCTATGTTCCCTCACTGTGCCCAGAGCCATCTGCCAAGATAGGATTCACTTTTCTCCGTATATCTTGTTTTCTATTTTTCACCTCTTTCAAAAAAAAAAAAAAGGCTTTGGTAATCTAGCCCAAGGATTACTGTGTCTGAAATATACATAGGTTCTAGTAAACAACATCCTCAGCTTGAGTGGGCTAAACCGAGGAAGGCGGCACAGTCAGTTAAAGCAGACTCTGACTCTTCAGAGGGTCTGGGATGACCTCAGGTGGGGGCAGATCTGCCAGCAGCTGCTTTTTTTTTAAATTTTTTCTTTTTGTGAGACAGAGTCTCATTCTATCACCTTGGGTAGAGTGCCATGGCATCAGCCTAGGTCACAGTAACCTCAAACTTCTGGGCTCAAGGAATCCTTTGACGTGAGCCTCCCAAGTAGCTGAGACTACAGATGCTCCCCATGACCTCAAGGAAGTTTTTTTCTAGCTCTTGCTCAGGCTAGTCTCAAACTCCTGAACTCAAGTGATCCTTCTTGGTCTCCCAGAGTACTAGGATTATAGGGGTGAACCTCTGCAGCTAGCCCTAGCAGCTGTGTTTCTAGCACTGGTGTCCTGTTGGGGACCCTGGGAAAGAGGGTGCCCTCCTTGAATAAGTTATGTCAGTGTTCAGGCTGAGAGATAACTGCAGGAGAAAATCCTCCCCTTCCTATCAGTGGGCATGGCCCCTGCGCCATGGTGCTATGGACTCAAGTGCTGGCAAGCACAGCCAGACCTACAGAAGTCAGTTTTATTATGTTCACCCTTCTTAGAGGACTGTTGGCAAATCTATCCACAGGATTCTGTTATTGACATAAGTAATCACTTGGAAAACATAAATTTGGAGGCTGCAACTCAGTGAAACAATAAAGTGCTTTGGTTGAGAGTAGCTGTTACTCTCTTAACTGGTTGTTTCTCATTTCATCTGAAGCACCACAATTGACATTATGAAAGAGAATAAGATTTACCGGGAGTAAAAACTGTAAAAGCTTGTTTCTACTAAAAAGCCTGCATTTCTAAAGGTACTTTTCTATTGGTTTCCATGTCTTCACATTACTAAATTTTAATGCACAGTGGAGTAAGAATAGTTTATGATGGGGGTGGGGTAGGGTGGAGTAGAAAACACAAAGAAGTGGGGAGGTCCATAAATATTTCTCAAGGGCGCCACTGGTGAAGGTGTATTTGTGTGTGTGGGTGGGGGTGGTTACAGCAAAAAGATCAAGCCCCATGCTGAATCCAGATATGTGTCCAGATGAGCTGAGACATGGATTGGCTTCTAGAAGAGTTCACATATCAACCTAAGAGTTTATTCTGAGTCCACATGCTTGATAAATGCTATAACACACTTGCATCTTCCATGGCCTTAATCCACCTGTTAAACAGAAGAGAGAGAACATTAGGTGTCTTGGCTCTGCTGCTGACTCTCATCACAGAACCTGTAAGTGATTCCTCTTAGCTTAAAGTCAAGGATGACATCATATTCATATTTTTTTCAAGCATTATTTTCATATTTAGCAAAAGGCCTGGAACACAGTGCATAAGTTTACTGAATCCTAACAGTCTAAAAATCCTTGCAACAGGGAATGGGTAGTTTCACAGTTCTGCTATGGCCCAAGGGGACTTGATGGGACAGGAAGAACAGGACAGAAGTCAAAGTCCTGGTGACAACTTGATTCTTTTTGACAGAGAGGAAATAAGGTATAGGACTAGTTATTTTGGTACCTCTGAGCTGAGTTGGTATCCTCTGCTTTGAAGCTATAAAATAGGGTTTTCTTGTGGTAAAGGTGGAAAGTAGGTCCTACTTCGCTGCTGCCCTCTTCCTTTTCTGGTGCAATGGTGAAACCTAGCAGAGGCATACTCTCCATGGCCACTTTGTCCTGTAGAGGACAGAAGGAAAAACTGATGTTAAACCTTGGTGCATAGTCACTTATCGTTGTGTCCAGTCTAAGATGCATGAGGAGCATAACTGCAGGCTAACCACACATACACTGTCCACCCCTGCTTCCTGTCAGGGCCAGCCTGGGGAATGAAGGAAACTCACTATTTTGGTGACAGCCTGTTGGGGACCAGGCATTTCTACTTTCATTATCTTGTGTAATCTTCTTTAACAGTCTTAGAAGGCACCAGCATTCTAAGAGGATGCCACAGCTCGAAGAAGTTAACTCCCCAGGATGATACAGCCAGTAAGGAGCAGATCCGGACTTTGGACTCATGACCACCTGCTAACCCTGTATCTTTCACACTGACTTGATTAGCCAAAGACATCCGTTTTCTAGAGTTACTTCCGAGCACACATTCTGTCCTCATTCCTCCAAACCCTCACGTGTAGCACCTCAATACAGAGAAATTGTGCAGTCTGTGCTATAAAGTTGCTAACAATTTGGTAAGATACAACAAGAAAACATAGATGGATCTTAAAAGCAAAGTGCTCAGTAGAAAAAGATTTTTTTCTTTTTTGAGACAGAGTCTTACTTTGTTGCCCTTGGTAGAGTGCTGTGGCATCAAAGCTCACGACTACCTCAAACTTTTGGGCTTAAGCGATTCTCTTGCCTCAGCCTCCCAGGTAGCTGGAACTATAGGCACCTGCCACAACGCCTGGCTATATTTTAGAAACGGGGTCACCCTCTTGCTCAGGCAATCCATTTATCTTGGCTTCCCAAGTGCTGGGATTATAGGCATGAGCCACCGTGCCTGGCAAGAGATTTTTATATACAGATAAAAACATATATATTTTTGAGACAGGGTCTCATTCTATTGCCCAGGCTAAAGTATAGTGGTGCGATTGTAGTTCACGCTAACCTCAAATTCCTGGGCTCAAGCAATCCTGCCTCAGCCCACAAGTAGCTGGAACTATAGGCATGTGCCACCACACCTGCCTAATTTGCTTATTTTATGTAAACATGGGGTGTTCTTGCTATGTTGCCTAGGATGGTCTCAAATTCCTACCCTCAAGCAATCCTCTTGCCTCAGCCTCCCAAAGTGCTGGGATTGCAGGCATGAGCCATTGAGCCTGGACTAGATTAAAATAATTTTACATAGATGTGTTTATGTAAAATGCACAAATTTATATAAGATAAAAATACTTGGTCATTAACAAAAAAGGCTTTGTAAAAACATACAGAGATACAATTAAGCATATCAGAATGGTGATGGGAGGAAGAGGGGGAAGAGTACGGTTTATGTACAAAAGGGACTCAAATCAGGCATGAGGACACATGCCTATAGTCTCAGGTACTCAGGAAGTTGAGGTGGGAGGATGAACTGAGCCCAGGGTTTCAAGTCTAGTCTGGGAAACATAGAAACATACAAACAAAAAACTCCTAAAAACCTAAAACTTTCCAAAAAAAAAAAATTAAAAGGGAGTCAATTGTCAAAGATTGCTAGATCAGAACAAGCTTCTGACAAAATCCAACATCCATTCATGATAAAAAAATGTTAGCAAACCAGGAGTAGAAGGGAATGTCCTTACTCTAACAAAAGGTATCTCTAAAATATCTATAGCTAACATCATACTTATTAGTGAAAAACTGAATACTTTTTCTATAAAATTGAGAGTAAGACAGGAGGGTGTCCACTCTCACCAATTTAATTCAACATTGTTCTGGAGGTCTTGGCCATTGTGTTAAAGTAAGAAAAAGAAATAAAAGACAAAGATCAGAAAGGAAGAGTAAACTGTATTTGCTTACAAAAAACATGTTTGATTACAAAACAACTACCAGCCTAAAACAGCAAGATCACAGGACAGTCAATTTTTATATGTATATAGTAGCAGTAAACAACTAGAAAATAACCTCCATTCAAAATAGCATAAAAAAAAAATACCTGAGAATAACATTAACAGGAGTGTAAGACCACCACACTATAAAACATACAAAACATTAAAAGAGAAATTAAGAGACTAAATAATGAAGATTTATGCCATGTTGATGGATTGAAAGATTCAATATTTTAAGATGCCAGTTCTCCCCAAATTGATATATAGATTCAATACTTTTTGTCATAGAAATTGATAAATTTATATGAAAACAAAAGCTTTTGGCATCTCTGGCTGGTGGGATCAGCCCAGAAACATCCCTTTGGGGACACAGGGAGTCAACAAGAGACTTCTGGACCCTATGAGGAGGATAAAAACAGTGGAGAACTGGCAGGTGGTTGCATGTGTTTGTTCAGTCTAATCCCACTGGCAGTTGTAAGTACAGCAACAGTGTGATTGCAAACTGGAAAGGCCTTACCTGTGAGCTGTTTTGTTTTTTTGGACTTGACACTCAGTTGAACTACCTTGTGAGAACTTGGGCAAGAGTGCGGAGGACTTTACGTGTCTAAGGCCTAAGGCCGCAGACTGAGCCGCTGAGTGGGACAGTACTAATAGTGTTCGGCAGTGGGCCTCAAGGAGCCATTGTGGGAGAACTGCCCCAGCAAGCTCCACCCTCATGGTCGCAGAGCAAGGATCAGAGTGGGAGACCTTGGGCCAGTAATCTAGTGACTGAGCAGCCTAAAGACAGGGACTGAGATGCCTTACAGCCTTGGCCCTCAGAGGCATAGAGTGAGACCAGTTTTGGCACACTGGGTAAGTGACAGCCACTTCAGGATTGATCCCAGTGACAAGTGCTTTCCTGGAAACCTGATTAGCCAAGGTTAGCAATTTGAAGTGCCTTTTAAGCAGGTTGAGGAGAGATTTAGGCTCTCCACCCCATGGGGTTGAGAAATCAGCAGAGGCCTCCAGTCTCCATCTTGTATAGCCATATGAGCATTGTGATTAACATCTCATACCTCAGAAGATCACCTGTTGCCCAGACAATATTCAGCAAGATATATATACTGCTTTTTTTTGTTTGTTTGTTTTTGGCTGGGGCTGGGTTTGAACCTGCCACCTCCAGTATATGGGGCCGGCGCCCTACTCCTTTGAGCCACAGGTGCTGCCCAGGTTTTTTGTTTTTTTTTCATTTCATCATTTTCCCTCTAGATTTTTCTTTTTTTTTTTTTCCCCTTCATTTTTCTAGTTTAAATATAATTTTCCATTGTTGCCTTCTTTAACAATTAGAATTTCATTTTTGCCAGTGTTTCTACCCCTATTATTCAGTTTCCCCCCCAATTTTATCCTGTAAAGTTTTCTGTTAGCTTGTTTTGGTTTGATTTATAGCATTTTTGTCTTTCCTCTCTACTTGGTGGAGGTGGGGTACTGTGTCTGAACAGGCTGGCAAAGAGCTGTTGACCTCAAGGGAACCACCCAACTCGGCACCCCCAGAGGTTGGGGGTTTTTAAGGTTGGGTCAAAGTACCCTACTATACACCTGTATTGCTCCTGTCTTCCTCTTTCTGTGCCTCTCTTCTTTTTGTCAATATTCTCTTTTACTCACCCCCTCTCCTTTCTCTATTTTTTCCTTTTTCCCTTCTTGCTCTTCAATCTTCTCATCCTTCTGGTCCTGTACCAAAAGGACTCATTGAAACCCTAGTCCATAGGCATGGTAAAGAGCAAGAGGAAGTGAAAGGAAAATTAGGGCAAGGAAAGAGAGAAAAGAAAACACTCATAAGGAAGAATCAGCAGAAAAATCCTGGCAACATGAAAAACCAGTTCAGTGCAAACCTCCCCCTCCCAAGGGACGTGAGGTAGCTACTGCAGAGGATTCCACCTATAAAGAAATGTTAGAAATGACAGAAGGGAATTTAGAATACAGATGATGAAAACAATGGAGGAAATGATGGAAACACTGAAGGAAACTGCTGATAAAGTGGAAAATAACGAAAAGTAAATCCAAAAACAGAATCAAATAAGAGATAAACAATACAAAGAATATAGCAGAGTTGAAGGAACTGAAGCAGTCAATTAGGGAACTTAAAGATGCAATAGAAAGTATCAACAACAGATCAGACAATACAGAAGAAGGAATCTCAGAGGTACAGGACAATGCTCTTGAGATAACTCAGATAGTTAAAGAGGTAAAAAAGAAGAGAGAGAAAGCAGAACGCTCACTGACAGAATTGTGGGACTTTATGAGGCGTTCAAACATACAAGTTATAGGTATCCCAGAAGAGGAAAAAGAATGCCCCAGGGGAATGGAAGCCATACTAGAGAATATTACAAATGAAAATTTCCCAAATATCACCAAAGATTCTGACACACTTGTTTCAGAGGGATGGACCCCAAGTTACTTCAACTCTAACAGAGCTTCTCCAAGACACATTGTGATGAACCTGTCCAAAGTCAAGGCAAAAGAAAAGATTCTGTCAACTGACCTACAGGGGCAAATCCATCAGGGTGCCTGCAGACTTCTCTAATGAAACTTCAAGCAAGAAGACAATGGTCATCTACCTTTAATCTACATAAACAGAACAATTTTCTAGCCCAGAATTCTATATCCTACTAAGTTAAGCTTTAAAATTGACAGAGAAATCAAATCATTTGCTGATATACAAACATTGAGGAAATTTGCCACAAGACCAGCTCTACAGGAAATACTTCAACCTGTTCTACACACTGACCATCAACAATGGATCAACAGCAAAGTAAGAACTCAGCAAGAACAGAACCTAACCCCCACAATGATGCAAAAGATAAAACTAAGCAATGAACTCTCACCAAATAAGATGAATAGAACATTACCATACTTATCAATTATCGCAATAAATGTTAATGGCTTGAATTCCCCACTGAAGAGGCATTGATTGGCTGACCGGATTAAAAAACACAAGCCATCTATTTGCTGTCTGCAGGAAACACATCTAGCTTCAAAAGACAAATTAAAACTCTGAGTTAAGGGTTGGAAGACAATTTTTCAGGCAAACGGAATTCAGAAGAAAAGAGGAGTTACAATCTTAATTTCAGATGCATGTGGATTTAAAGCAACTAAAGTCAGAAAAGACAGAGATGGTCACTTTAT